TCGCCTGCCTCCCTGCCAGCTCTACGGACCTGAGAGTGCGGTTCAGTGGGTCACTCTTTCCTTTTTGTTTTTGTTTTATCGGTAAATATAAACATAAAGAGAGCATAAACATAGAATGAAAACATGGAACGTAAACACAAACATAGAATATAACACAGAAAAGTAACTAAGAAGGGTTTTTTGTTGTTAATCTAATTTTATTAATTTTATTTATTTTTATTTTTTCACCTGCTAGGGATTATCAATAGTGAGAGCAAGTCTCGCTATGATAGCCTAGTGCAGGTGAGACCCTCGCCTGCCTGCCTCACAACTCCCATGGGCTGAGAGCGAGGTTCAGTGGGTCACTTTTCTTTTATATTTTTTCAAGGAATATAAACATAAACGTAGAGCAATATAACATGGAACATAACCATACTAACACATAAACATGAACATAAATTATTATTGTTTTGTTTTTGTTATTTTTCCTTTGTTTTAACGTATAATACATATGAACATTACCTACACATTTAAATAATGGGAGATGAAGTAAGAGTGGAGCAGGGAGCAGTAAGAAATAGTGATGGTCAGATAGATAGAGTTATGGTAACGCAACTCAGGTTAACAAAAAGAAAAATAAAGAGCTGAATGGTATGTGGTGGGATGATGGCCGCCTAGGTATGAAGCTCATCATGCTCGGTGCTATGAGGTGATTTTTTGGCATGGAAGTCATCCCCCGATCCGAGTACACGCGCTAAGTGGGTGTGGTCGGGCCGGAGGCTCCTCCCCCCGCCAAGCTTGTGAGGTGCGGTGATGATGTGCCTGAGTTGCGTGAAAACAGTAACCTTAAAACGAACAAACATAAAACAACAGAAACATAACATTAACGTACGAAGAGGGGTTCAGGGGATCTCCATTCACAAGTGGGAGTGTCCTGGGCCACCATGAGTGGTTCGCGTGTGTGTGTGCGTGCGTGTGCGCGCGCGTTTTAGTATAATGTCATCATAATTAGTGTTGTCTATATGTTGTATGCGATCCAAGGCTCGCTTGGCGAGTGTGTGTATGCATATGTTTAGTGGCTCCATGTTGTATGTTCGGTATAGTGATTGTGCGGTGATTCCGTGGTGAATTCTGCCCTGTATTGTGGTGTTTATCCAGTATAGTGCTTTGTTCTGTATGGATTGCATCCTGTGTTTTTGTGTTTTAGAGAATACAATGAGTGGTATGGGCGTATATTTTGAGTTTTGTTTGTGTTGAGCAGTATGAGAAACGTCTGATTTTGTTGACAGCTATGCGTGTTTGGCCTATTCTGTGTTGTGCGTGCGTGGAGATACCGTGTTTGCTGAGTGTAGGCCTAAATTTTTTTCCTTGTTTGCGTAGGGTGTCTCAGTTGTTTATTGTGATTGGGGTGGGTTGTGTCGAGCCAGTGGTATGAAAGTGAATTTGTTTGTTTGTTTGTGTTTTCCATTTGTTTTCATGTGTTGATTGTGTTAATGGCTGTATGTGTGGCTGCTTTCATGGTGTTTTTGATTTGGAGGTATGAGGTTCGTGTTATGTCGTCTGCGTATACTATGTAGTTGCGAAGCATGTGAGATGTGGAGGCAATTGAAGTTGTATTATTTTATATTCGAGGCCAGACCTATCAAAGGCCTTGGTGATCGTAGTATAAGGTTAGTCTGGTGCTTGCTTGCGAGAATGATGGCGATTTCCGCGTACGTGAGGGTGACTGCACTCCCAGTCCCTGTGTGGGCGAAAGCCGTGTTGCCTAGTGTTGTGTATGTTGTTGAATTCAAGGTGTGTCTTGAGTCTGTGTGATTAGTCTCTCTAGCAACTTCCCGGAGACCTCCAGCAAGGAGATCGGTCTGATTCTGGTCATTTGTTCGTGTGTGAGCGTGTCTCATATCTTCTGGTGTGATAGGGCGTGAGAGAGGGTCGTCTGGTGAGAGCTGTCCAGTGATATTGTTTGTGATGTGAGAATTGTGTTGCTGTTGTAGTGTTTGTGTGACCTCGGTTTCTGTGTCTGGATCAAAAGTTGTGTTTTCAGCAGGGGAGATTTGAAAGTTCTGTTGCCAGAACTCCTTATGGACAACTTCCATCTCCTCTGCTGTCTATCTTTTGTCTATTGGTGTTTTACATGTATGTGATAGTCTGTTCGTTTATGAGTCGTCTGTACTTCAGCCATAAGACTTTAGAATCTTTATGCCGTTGCATAATTCTCATGTGAATGTTTCCCAGTGTAAATGTTGTGCGATCTTCTGTTCGTGGAAGTGTTTGGTATGTGGTATTTGTGTATATCCATTTTATTGTACCGCGTGTGACTTCGTGTGGACCGCTGTTGTCTGTCTCAGTGTTTGTAGCGTGAGGGCTCCGCTGCAAAGAGGCGGATGACATGTTTTTGGATAGAGGTCGTAATCGTTCCAATGGCGAAGGGACTGACCTCTGAGTCTGTAAGGTCGTCTGTGTGTCTGCGGTGTATTTGTGTCGTATTTTTTGTGTGACTGACTGTGTTGTCTGTGGGTTGGGTTGCTGTGGTGACTGATTGTACGTGTTCGTTTTGGTGGTGCGTGCGTACAGGTGATTGTGTTGGCGTAAGTGCTGGCGTGGGTTTCCTCTGTGGTGTGGTGAAGAGTTCAGTCTCTGGCTTGTCCTGTGGGCCGAGATCTGGTTGAAGCGGTTGCGTGAGTGTGGTTTCAGTGGTGGTGTTTGATGGGATGACTTTGGAAATCTACCATGAATCCCTATTAACTAGGTCTGTATCAAGAAGATTGTTGTCTTTCAGAATTTTGTGTACGTGGTGTCCCTTGGCCTGGCTCGAGGATGTTTTGCAAGTGGGCGTGAATTATGGCTGTCAGTATTCCCACTGAGAGGTTTTAAGGTAGTTGCAAGATTACTTGAGGTTCTCCCTTCTCCTCCTTTGTTTCTTTTATTAGTGGTTTCAATCAGGCATTCTGAGTGGCAGCAATTGTTTGTTTGGCCGTTTGTTCGGCGACTCTTTTTATGGCCATTTCTTTCCTCTCCTCCTCCTTGATTGCTTCCTCCCTGGTTTTCTTTATAGCTTCTTTCCTCATGCAGGAGTTGGCAAGCGTTCGATGGCCTTCGTCGCAGCTTAGGCATCTTTTTGCATTAAGACTTGCAATCTCTGTACGTTTGCTCCACACTCGGAGCATAGCTTCAGGTTATGGTCCATGTCTGGGCAGTTGTTTCTAGAATGAACATATTTGTTACAGTGCATACACTGCGAAAGGTATAAACCTTTCTCCTGAATCTTGGCTACAGTCTCATGGTCGGTAAACTCTATTTTCATCAAGTATCTATTTTTCATGATGAAAACATTGTCAATTTTGGTTTCGGGTGAGCTTCTCTCCAGCTCTTCTGTTATTGCCTCAGGGAACTCTAACCAGTTCCGTCTAGTTGCTTAATCACACGGGTGAGTTTAGCTTTTAGTTCGGGAGGCATTATAGGCTCAAAGCTTTTGGTCTTCAGCATTGATACGTTTTCGCTCTTGAACAGAGCTTCTGCATTTGCCTCATCTTGGCAGATAACATATTGGTCACTGGTGATGATGAAGAGTCCTCACCTCCGCATCGAAGAGCGTCTGCAGAGGGTCGTACTTTAATCCTCATGGTGACATGAGAATTAAATGGGGTGGGTGCTGAGGGAACCCACACCACTGATTTTTAGGGGTCAAGAATTACACTCATCCCCGGCCCCTCTTGAAGGGGCTATAGAGAACATGAGTGTTCTATATTGTATCAGTGGGGACCCTTTGCAGGGGCCTAGCCCTAACCGTACACACTTTTGATTTCAGGTTTATATACTTGATTGTTCCCTATTTTTCAACTTTCCGATCCTCTCAGGAGGTAGACACGGCGGAGTTCTCCGGCACCTCTCAAGAATTGGGGCTGTGTACGTGGAAGTACTCCTTGGTCCTAAGCTGCTACAAGGGGACTAAGGTTGTACTTCTCCCTAGGCGAATACCAGTCACAAGGACTCTTGTAGGCCCAGGAAGAGTATAAGGAAAAGAGGGAAAAATTAGTGGTAGTAGAAGAGGTTGAAATTTGCTTGAACACTAGGTCCTGAACAAAGGCGATTATAGCCGTATCTACACCTGAATTCGAGGCCTGTAATCCAAGCAAAGACCTGTTGCAGAGGTCAACAGGACACAGACAATCCTGGACAAGGTCGTGGCAGATCACGGTGGCTTGTCGGAGCTGTCAGTGTGACGTTTTGTCAAAGATTGGCTCAGTAACTTAGGGTCACCAAATGATCAAACGGGATCTTTGTAGCAAAAGACCTGGCAAAGGTAGCAAAAGGCACAAAAATCATATGTAGAAACAACTAGCGTTTTTTTGGCAAGGCTCTGAGAAAGGCTGGAAAATGGCTGAAGTGATTTATACGTATAGTTTCTACGAAATCTGGTTTAACCATGATTATGTGGTATATACCCATCCTTAGACCACTGTACAATACAACAGGCACTCCCTGCAGCTTATTTTTATAGCTGCCTGAGGATGCTCCTCCAGCGCCACTCATTTTCTTGCATGGTGACACCACCTGAAGATGACTTTCCTTTAACGCCATCCATTCGCTAGTTTTGAAGCCAGAGAACATTGCACTCTCGGTATCAGTTAGCCTTTAAACCTATCGAATCTCGATAGTGATACCACAGGCACTGCTCCATGTTTTTGCTGCTACTTTTATTTAAAATTTCAAATGTTTTATCACAATGGGATCACTTGCTTTGTCTGATTATTCATCTCTTGTTACACTAGACATCCCAGTGATGTGTCTATCCCCTTCCGTATGAGCTATGTAAAGTTGTAACTCAACCTTTCTTCACCACAGATTATCACATGTTATGACAGGACTCACTGTGGGGAGCCAAGGAGCAACACCTCGCTCTTAAAAGCATCCACACTCATTAATCTTCAAAAATTTGCGAGTCGAGATATCTTGGTTGTCTACCATACACCATAAGCTATTTTTAAAAGTCAGTACAAAGGAATAAATAATGTCCATAATCACGCTTCCATTTTCTTTTTATATTTTGCCTAATCACTAATATTACAAAATAGTACTAAATAAAGAAAAGAATATCAATCATTTAAGCCTATCATGAGTTTCTCGTTTCTGCGCATATCTATTTATAAAAAAGTTGATCCTTGAACAGTTTAAGATGAATATGTTCCAAAAGAATAAAAAATACAAATCCGTTTGTTTTGCTTGAAAACATTCATTAATCATTGAAAGGGTATCCTCTTAAAAATCACAGTAAAAAAAAATGAAACAAATAAATTTCCTATATATAATAAAGTTTACTGGATAATTCCTTCTCTCTATTCATCTTGATATTGTCTAACTCACTCTCTTGCATATTTGCCTCCGTAGCATGAACCTTGGCGCTGAAAGGAAAGAGAAATCAGTAATATCAGTTATGCTGAATTGTGTATCAAGTGGCGGATATAAAAAAGTAAATGATGGTGCATCTGAAATATTATGGAAATCAGTAGATAAATTGTCAATTCACAGAATAAACAATTATAATGCTATTCTAACAAATACCACTAGACATGACATAAAAAGGTAACTGGCTCAAATTACATTGTCAGATCTGATGCTTAATTTTCAAAAAGAAAGAAAAATGTAACTGGGATACCATACTTATTGTGGGGTAATCAAGAAGAAAAAATGTAACCATGACATTGTACTCATTGTGGGATAAGCAGGTATTCTATGTACAATAGTTATATCAAGTAGTAGTTAGACCAAGTGGAAATATTGACAATGAAAAAATAATCGTTAGATTTGTTTTTTAGTAATATGAAAACTATCTTACCGAAAAGCAGCTAAATGTGCATAAGCAACTGGTGCTGGCAAAGATACAGACTTGCTACATCTTGAGTACACATGGCACATATTATATGTAAATTCTTGTAACTGATCCATGGTCAGATTATTGTCATCCCACAACACATGGTAATGGGCTGGTCTGCTTGTACCTTTAATACCCTGTAACAAAAGTGTTAATAAATCAGAATGTCTTTTGAATATCTTCATGGCTTCATCATATATATATAAATTATATGTCATGCATCACGAAATTCACTTACGTGATGAGAACACAAGTAGAAATCTCTCTCAATAGGATGTGTAATTCCTGAATCAACAACAGTGCCTGGAGGAATATTCTTTCCCATTTCATTTACTGGAAAAAATCTGTTGAACCAAAACAGTATCTAAACTTACAAAAAATATAATTTCTCTAGTGAAATTTTCATTTCTAAATAATTCAAATTCAGTAAAATACAATATACATAAATATTAAATATAAATATGCATATCTATGCATATATGTCTAGAAATATAGAATACATGTATATAGGTGTAACATAATTACATAGATATTTATATAAATCAATATATATATATATATATATATATATATATATATATATATATATATATATATATATATATTATATATGTATGTATATGTGTGTGTATATATATATATATATATATATATATATATATATAT